GGTGTTGCTTCCCCCTGCCCTGCTCAGTCTCAGCCCCCTCCTCGATCACTTTGGAGGTCCCAGTCCCCCTTTTCTCCCGTTCTCCCCCCCCCCCTTTTCCCATTGTCCCCTGAAAGGTAGCTGTTAAATACTGGGTGCTGAAAAAGCTGCTACATGATGTCCTTTCCAAATTAAGCCTGCATTTATTGGGATGGACTGGCATCCAAATGGCAGCAAGAATAGTCTTCTAATTCTCTTCTTCTTAATCCTCTCTGCAGTCGCCGATTTTCCCTCTAACCAGGCAGGAAAACAGGAACAGCCCTGATGTGGTCGGGGAGCAGCGCTGACCCCAAAGGGCTGCATTTCCCCTGCCGATCCTCCTGCTCTGCCCTCCCCCGGGGCTGGCTCTGCCTGGTGCTGGCCGGACGTCCCGGGGCTCCTCACTGAGCAAACACCTTCCCAAACTTCAGGGGCAAGTCCAGACCCCGGCTGGCCTGGGAGGAAGCGACGGCAGCGCGGGCCGAGCGGGCGGGATGGGGTCCGAGCAGCGGCGGGAAGTTGCAAACTCGCCAGCAAAGAAGTTCAACTAAAACGAAGCAGCTAAAAAAGCCCGAGGTCTTGGCGTGGGGGCGGGAGGAAGGGGAGCTCCGTGACTGCAGCCGGGGCTGGTTGGGAGTGGAGTGGCCGGGGCTGCCCCCGGGGCGTGCGGGGGCCAACGGGGAACGGACAAACGGCCCTGGAGCTTCGGCAGCAGCAGCAGTTGCAGCAGCAGTTGCAGCAGCAGTTGCAGCAGCAGCGGCAGCAGCAGCGGCAGCAGCAGTGGCAGCAGCAGAGATTCTAGAGACGAGCTCTCGCTTTTACTTTTCCTCTTGCCTTTTCCTCCTCTCCCTCTCCCGGTGTCCCGCTGTCCCGGTGTCCCTGTCCCGGTGTCCCTATCCCAGTGTCCTGCTGTCCCGGTGTCCCTGTCCCAGTGTCCCTGTCCCAGTGTCCCTGTCCTGTTCCCGGTCTCCCCCTCCACTTCCCGGCCCGGGCCATGGCCCCGGCCGTTCCCCTCTGCCGGGCGGGGCCGCCCCGTCCCCGTCCCCGGGCGACCCGACGCGGTCTCGCCCTCGCCCGGCTCCCGGCACGCCGGCTGTGGCACTGCTGGGTGCTCCTGTGGGGCTGGCTGTGGGACGGGCTCGGCCTCGCCGCCCCTTGGCTCCGCCTGGCTCGAACCCGGCGCCTGCCGGGGCCGGCGGGGGACGCGGGCGCCGCGGCCGCTGCCGCCTCCTCGGGGGGTTCCCCGGGCAGAGCTCCGCCGCCGCTGCCCGCTGCGGGTGGGGAAGCCCGGCCCGGGCCGCTTGAGGGGCGCTCGGGGGCCGTGCCGGGCCCCGGCCCGAACGCTGACGGCCACGTCTCGCCCGCACGGAAGGCGAAGGGGCCCCTGCAGAAGCGCTACCGGCTGGGTTCGCTGCTGGGCAGCGGCGGCTTCGGCCGCGTCTACGCGGGGACCCGCCTGGCGGACGGAGCCCCGGTGAGTGGAGGAGGAGGAGGAGGAGGGGGAGGAGAGTGGGGCGGGCGGCGAGCTGAACCCACTGTTCCCCTTGGCTTGCAGGTGGCCATCAAAGCCGTGTCCCGGGATGGCATCCGGCGGTGGGGCGAGCTGGTGAGCGAGCGGGGCCAGCGGGAGAAAGTGGGGCGGGACGGGCGGGGACGAACCGAGGCCCGGGAGGGTGGAAGCCGCCGGGACCCCTGGAGGGAGAGTGGGCGTGGGCTCAGTGGGGGACGGGGAGCATCCAGGGCTGGCGGAGGGGGAGCAGGCAGACAGGCACGGCATCAGCCCCACTGATGACCCCGTGGTCCCCCCGCAGCCTGACGGCACCCGGGCACCCCTGGAGATCGTGCTGCTGGACAAGGTGTCCAATGGCTTTCGTGGTGTCATCCAGCTCCTGGAGTGGTTTGAGCTCCCCAACAGTTTCTTGTTGGTGATGGAGCGTCCAGAGCGCTCTCGGGACCTCTCTCGCTTCATCACGGCGTGGAGGTTCCTGCCGGAGGAGGTGGCGTGGGGGCTGTTCCGCCAGGTGCTGAAGGCCGTGCGGCACTGCACCAGCTGCGGCGTCCTGCACCGGGACATCAAGCCCCAGAACATCCTCCTCGACCTGGCCACCGGCGAGGCCAAGCTCCTTGACTTTGGATGTGGCACCTTCCTCCAGGACACGGTCTACACCCAGTTTGCAGGTGAGCCCACAAGCCGGGGGACGCTCCTGGTGTTGGGCATCGTATGGCCATGCCCGGGTGTGGCACCGGAGATTGCCCCTTTTGCTGAGGGGGAACAGGATTAGTTTTTCAGCCAAGTTGCTTTTGGATGGGGCTGGGGGGTTATTGTGAGACAGGCCCCGGCCTTGCCAACAGCCTGTGCCACCCACCCTGTCCCGGGCTGGGTCTGGGGCAGGGGGAAGCCAGCCTGACCAAAACCCCCATGAGGGTAGCAGAGAAGGGGGTCAGAACTGTGCACCAGCTAGCTTGGTGTGCAGGCGAGGAAGGGCTTGGGCTGCTCCGCTCGCCTTGTTTGCCTTGGCTTATGATTAATTGCTGGGGGTGGTGCAGTGGGGCAGGGAGAAGGCATGGCTTTTCCCCACCACTGGCTGGGTTTTCCCCTTGCATGTAATGGTTGGGCCTTGCCAGGGCTTCCGTTGCCCTCTTGGACACCAGCGGCTTCTTGTACACCCCAAAGTTTGTAACCAAGAGTCAGGGGCTGGCGAGAAGGCAGTGGGTCACGGTGTGTGCCACTGGGGCAGGCCCCACATTGCCAGGGATGCTGGGCTGAGGGTCTGGGAGCAGGCAGCATCCACCTGACGAACTCCGTCTGTATTCTGTAGGAACACCGTCATACAGCCCGCCAGAGTGGATCTGCTTCAAACGCTACCGTGGCGAGGCAGCAACAATCTGGTCCCTGGGCATCCTGCTCTACCAGATGGTCTGCGGGAAGCACCCTTTCTGCAGAGGCACCAACACCATCTGGGACCAGCTCCTGTTCCCACCACGGGTCTCTCGAGGTGGATACCAATCTTTGTGGCACGGGGGGAATAACGGTGTTGGGAGATGGCAGTGGGCTCACGAGGACACCGCTCTTGAAGCTGTTTGTGTCCCATGGTTGGCTGGAGGAGGTGGCCTGTGTCCTGCCATCCTGCTCTCCTCCAAACTGGAGAATTGATGGAGAAGTTTGGGCACAGCTCTGAGCACAGCCAGCACAGCCTGGGCACGTGGACAGTGGGACAGAGGGGACAGGATCCTTCTCCAACTGACCGGTGATTTTCTCCCCAGGGTGTCAGCACCTTATCAAGTGGTGTTTGTCCATCCGCCCCTCAGACAGGCCATCATTGGAAGACCTATTGTGCCATCCTTGGGTGCAGGGCTTTCACCTGCTTAGAAGACAGGAGAGATCCACGTGCTCACTTTGATCCAGGAGCCTGGCAAGTAACACCTCCACACATCTCTGGGCAATAAGAAGTAAAGAAAACCAGACTTTTTTGTCATGCCTGTAGCACTGAGGGGGGATCATCACATGGGAACATGCACCTCTTTGTGCTGGAGCTGGGCTGCAAACCCAGTCTTCCAAGTGCTGGTGGCCACCATCCAACCTGGTTTTGCTCGTCCCACTTCACAGACAGCTGGGGCCCTCAGCAGAACGCTGACAGCCTGGTCTGGCCCCCAGGGAAGGAGAAGGGGCCTCTGGAGAAGCTGTGCCGGGTGGGCCTGCTGCTGGAGACATCGTGGACGACGTCAAGGATGACAAGCTCTTTGTTGCTGACCTGGACACTGGCGAGCTGAAGATGATGGACTTTGATTGTGGCCCCTTCCTCCAAGATGTGTTCCACACGCCGTTTGCAGATGAGTCCACACCCAGGGGGTGCTCCCGGAGGCGGGCATTGCTCAGCCTGGCTGGGCACCAAAGGTTCCCCCCTTTGCTGGCGGGGAACCTGAGGAATTCTTCAGCCGGCTGCCAAGCTGCTTCTTGGCAGGAGGGTGGGTGGGTGCTCTGGGCTGGCTGTGAATTGGGAGCCCGGCTCTGCCACCAGCCTCTGCCACTGCCCCTTTGCTGGGCGGGGCTGGGGCAGGGGCAGCCAGCCTGCCAAAAACAAACCCCCGTGGGGGGAGCAAAGGCGGGGCTGCACAACACCAGCTGCTTTGCTCTGCAGCCCAGGAAAGGCTTGGGCTGCCTTGGCTTAGGAGCCTTTCTTTGGGCCAATGCAGCAGGGCAGGGAGAAGGCCTGGGTTTTCCTTAGCTGGAGGAGATGGGGTTTTTCTTTTGCCTGGAGGGGTTGGGCCTTCCTCAGAACCCTGACAGCATGTTAACATTTTACCTTTTTTTCTTGTTTCCACTTTTTGTTTGTAATCTCTTGTCATGAATTTGTTGTTTGTTTTCAAGGGAAGAGTTGGAGCTGGTGCCCGGTCCGGATTGGGAAGGGTTGGGACCATCCATGGAGTGGATCTGACGTCCCCTCTGAGAAGGCTGAGGACATCCTTTGGGACACGCTCTTCTTCCGGCAGCAGATCTTGTGAGGTAGATGCTCCTCTTGCCCATCTTCTCAGCAGGAGTGGGATAATGGCTTTTGGGAGATGGCAGCAGGCACAGGAACATCCCGCTCTTGCAGCTGCTGAGGAGGTTGATCTCCTGGGCTTGGCTGGAGGAGGTGGCACCTGTTTTGAGTAATTTCTGAAATCCAGTTGATCTGGGATGACCCTGTAATAAATTAGCAGTAGTAGTTTAATTTACTCATCAAATTAGTAGTAGTAGTTTACTTATTAAATTGTATTATAAGTTATATTCTATTCTTATATACACATATATGTTGATATAATCAATACTCTGTTAAGGTTAGGAGACTGTAAGTTGTAGAATGGTTCATTAATCTGTCAACATTGTAAGCTGATAGTCATATGGTTTGCAGTCCTTGAGCTGGACAGACAAACTATTGTGCCTTGCTGAATAAGTATTTTAGTATTTTATTTTTCTGAAAGCTTATTGTCTCATAGCAGACGCATAAGGTAATGAAGAGAAGGACAAAGATCAAAGGATCCACCACGAGAACGATACAGAGAATCCAAGATGGACATCTGGAGATACCTACACACTAGGCCTCAAGGACTAAGAGCTAATTAAAACTATGGAATGGAAAGCACCTGGCAACTGACATGAGCCTGCAGGGAAGCCAACCAGAACCAAACCTGCAAACTCAAATCCAATAGAAGAATAACAAGTGATTATGGGAGGGGAACTGAAGAAGGAATAAAAGTTGCTGGTTTTGCTTACTGTGTTTGCGTGCCATGTGTGGAGCAGGAGTCTCCCCGGCCGCCCAACGCGCTGTTTTGCTTATCTGCTTTTTATATAAATCTTCAATAAATTTTTTTATTATTATATTTCAGCCTAGTTTCATTTACATATAACAACCCCAAATGACAGTTTAGTTTTCACCTTGCTCGAGCTGTATCTCAGCTGTTCTCTGAACAGTTCTCTCCCCCACCTGCCTAGTACTTCCCAACTGCTCCCTCTTTTCCCCGCAATGAGTTCCCAGCTCATCATGGTCTCCATCAAACCACTGATAGAAGAAATAGAAACTCTACTCCCAGTACCCCGGAGTGCCCAAATGAGGAACAATGTAATCCTAGGAAAGTCCTAGAGAATTAGATAAGGGATGTCACAAACAAGCAGGATGTAAACTAAGCCCTGTGTACTTAGATAAAAGAAACACAATGGTGCTGTGCTGCTCAAGAACTGAGGTCAAGATGACAGAGAAGGCCTGGAAGGACCAGAAAAGGACTTTCAATAGGGGTGTGACTATGTAAAGCAGAGTAATGAATATGTATTAAGTAAGCAAGGCTATCAAATGCACATGTAAACAGTGTGTGTAATAAAAAGCCCTGTCTGTCCTTTGGCACGTTAGATTAGAGGAACTCTCCTCTGAGCATCCAGCATGCTGAACAAAGAAGAATGCCCTTTTTAACATCTCCAAATTGGGGTTAAGACGTTTGTTTCTGCTGCTTTTGGGTGTAATTTTTGGCCCCCCTGACAGGACACCTCTGCCTGATCTCCCACAGATCTGAGGGATCTCTGGATCTTCACGCCAGCACCAGGACTTTGCTGCAGAAGAGCACAGATCCCCAGAGCAGTCTGGGACACAGGTAAGATCCCACTGGATAATAAGGCCTTCTTTTTGGGAGTCCTGCCCGTGTCAAACGTATGGATCTTTCAGCACACTGGGTGGGTTCTTTGGTATTTTGGGAATCCTGCTCATTCTGAGACCTGTGGATCTTCCAGCGCTTTGGGTGGGTTCTTTGGTATTTTGGAATTTGGTATTTGGCTTTGTTTTATCGATCAATATTGTTGTGTACTTATTTGTTTCTGTATTGTAACATTTTGGGTCTACTAGTTAGAGATGGGAAGTGGGCAATCTGAAGGGGGAATTGTGAAGAAATCCCCACTTTGTTGCATTTTGCAATTTTGGATGAAGTTTGGCGGCCCCCCCAGAGGAACAGCTCCCAGGGAGAATTTAATTGAGTATTGTAATCAATGGGTGGCTGTTCTGGAACATTGAATTATAATCCATTGTTACAGTTGATACTGTTTCAGAACGGGAACAGAACTGGAACGAGGTCATGTGTGTTTATGTGGTTTTCACTTTGCAGAACCCTCTGAAATGGCAGAAGGATTGTGGTGTGAATCCAGTGCCCTCAGAGCCCTCGGTGTGAGCCTGCAAAGGAAAATCAAGGGAAATGGTTAAAGTCTTGTTGTTCAATGTGGAGCCCAGGAAAACTTTGTTCTCATCATCTCCCTGCTAAGGAGAACCACCAAGATCTTCTGGTTGGCCCCACGGGCAGGTTGAGTGGGGGAACAGATAATCAAGATGCAGAAACCAATCTTGCAGGGGAACTGGCATGTGAAGAGGCAGATTTAGCAGGTCCAGAAGAAAAGGTCGAGAGAATGTGCCAGAGAGAGCAGAGAGCTTCAGTGCGGTTGCAGGAAGAACTAGAGCTAAACAAGGAGGGGTGGGAGTGGCCCCCCTCTGGGATAGAGCCCAGACTAAATGGCAAAAGCATTCAAAATGATGATTAAAACCCAGGATCCGGGCTAGAAGGATATGGATCCTATGTTAGAAGTGTTGTTTGGTAGTACAGAGAAAGAAATGGTTGTTAAAACTAATCAGAGGTTTTTGGAAGAGCAGATTTTGATGGGGAATATACAGGGTACATTGGACATTCCCTTTCCCACTGTGGATCCCGAATGGGATCCTAACATCCCTATTTTTAGAGAAAGGTTAAATAGATACCTGCAGTGGATGTTATCTGGAATGAAACATGCCAGACCAAAGGCAATGGACATGTCAAAATTCTTTGCAATGAAGCAGGATCATAGGGAATAGCCTACTGAATTTTTAAATCATCTGGAAGAAACAGCACAAAAATATACTAATATGGATCCTGAAACACAGGGAGGAAGGACTCAACTGGCCCCCATGTTTGTGGTTTGGAGGAAATGACAAAAAGCTGAGGGACAAGATCAGTCTAATTTCGGGACATTGTTGGGAGAACCAGCAGGAATCAACTAAGCAGGAAGGAGTTGCAGTTCTGGAAGAAATCCCTGAGGAAATGGTGCCCCCAGGGAGAGGAGGAGGACGAGAGCGTGGGCAGCCTGCTTCAAACATCCCCCCCCCAGGAGACTTGGTATCAATCCCTGTGCATCCTGTAAGGAAGATGGACACTGGAAATGGGATTGTCCGCAACTGAAACTTCAGAACCCTCCGAACCCTCTCCTGGCATCACTGAAGACGACTGAGGGGGCACCAGAGGATTCTTCCCCATCAGAACATCTGGTTACAGCCAAGCTGAGTACAATTGTTTGTGGCTATGGGAACTTTTTCCTCTGTGTTAAATCCAGGAAAATGAAACTCAAGGAACAATTCTAGAACAATTGTCTGGTGTACCAGGGAATTGGGAAACTGGGCCATTTTTAATCCTGTGGCTTTTAAATTGGGAAAACAGTGGTTGGCTCCTCAGTTTTTGTATTTCCCCAATTCCCCAAAGCCTCTGCTTGGGAGAGCTGTCTTGGAAAAATGAAATGCCACAATCCAATTTAAAAATGGTCAAATATAGGTTATTATTGCAGAGCCTAATTCTGTGGAAGTTTCTAGTTTTGCATGACAGTCTCCAGAAGCAGAACTAATCCATCTGCCAGTATCACTTGGGGATGCAGTGATTCCAACAGGATGGGCTGGAGAGTGCCTCCATGATCCAAAAGAGCAGAAGCCGTGAGAATTCCAGTGAAACCTGGAGCGGGGTTGGCAAGGCCAAAGCAATACCTTTGAAAATAGAAAGTTGTAAGGGATTCTCACCCTTTGTAGAAAAATTGATGAAATTTTGCTTGTGAAAAGAATGTGAATCTAAATGGAATGCTCCAATTTTGCCAGTCAAGCAGGCAAATGGAAGGCTATGCCAGTTAGTCCAAGAGCTTCGAGCTATAAAGAATAGAGTAGAAGATATACAAGCAGTCGTAGCGAATCCTTACACTTTGCTAACTCCCCTAAATGAAAGTTTAATATGTTTCACAGCGTTAGATTTGAAAGCTACCTTTTTCTGTATCTGTGAAAGTCAAG